TTCATGAAGGGATTCTAAAATGTATTCGAAAGAATAATTTCTATTCCTTAAATTACTAATAATTTCTGAGTAAGCATAAAAATCTAAAGTTAATTTCAATTAGCCCTATGCATTGATCTCTAGACTACAATAATAATTTAATGAGTTTCAGAATATGATACATTAATTTTGAATCATTGCTAATATGAATATAAAAGCTTAAATTCTTAATAATTAAAAGAAATATAACTCTTCCTATAAGGCTTAGGTGGTGTTAGAGATATACTTTTAATTCAGATTAATATATTATCTGAATTAAGAGAGTGGTGCTCATTTAGCCCTGGTTGTTTCATAAAATATAACTAATTCAATTGATTTAATTGCCTTCCCTAAGTTGGAAGCAGAAAATATCCTTTAGCTATAGAGCTTTAATTATGAGTTTGAATATTTTGGTAATATTCACTTACTCATTTAAGAACTTTAGATAAACAAAGGGCATATATTTTATTTAACTCAAATGACTCTGCAAGAAACTATTAGCAGTATTAGCAGGAAAGGATAAGTATTTTTGTAAGGCCCTAATATTTTAATCATTAAAAATTTATTGATTGTAAGCTTTTTAGTCATTAAATAAAATTTTGCAAACATTCTTAAGGATATTTTGATTAGTTTCAAATTAGTGAGAGGTATTGGAAGTTTTTAAATAAAATTGATATTTTGAATTTTCTCACCTCTGAAAATACAAACTAGCTGAAAATTATTCATGCGATATTTATTCCTTATTGATTTTTTGTTCTCTTCTAATTTATAATAAATTTCGAGCATGCCATTTGTAGGTCTTTATTCAATAAAATCCCACTTTCTTGTACTACAAAATAATTGTGCATTTAATCAATATCAATTTTTTCGAATAAACTAATAATATTTGAAGGGATAATAGCTGTTAAGATTTCGCACTCTTTTATTTCAAATATTCTTACATCATAATTACTAAATTATTACTAGATTTTGATAGGATAGACTTTATTACCAACATATGTATAACATTCACTTCATGCTCAGATGCAGAATAGAATGAATTTACATAAATCTAAACCATCTTATTATTCGAATTAATGGCAAGTGTGAATAAAATGTTTTATATCATATCTTTATCTTAAAGACAAATGTAATAATATATATGATAGGCTTATTCTAAAAGTGAAGGTTTAGGCCAGCAATTTATATTACTATAAGGAATCATAATAATTTCATTATATTTTCTGTTTTGATTATATTTTTTAGTCTACAAATTTGTTATTTTTGTTATATTACCTCATTTAACTTAATGAGAATTTGGAAAATTTTCATTAAATTAATGACATTATAACATGTCCGTATTTACTCAAGGTGTATTTGATTAGAACTTTTATTCATGATTGTATAAATTATCTGAATTTATGATTTTCAGATTATCACCAATTTTTGATTTATTGATTTATTAAAACTGAATAATATTAGCTACCTAAAATTGTATTTATTTGGGAGAAGGATTACTTTGCATATGAATAATTGAGTAGAAATTTTTAATCTCAAAGATTTTTGATTTT